CTTTTACCAGGTTTCACTGACTTCCTCTCGACCTCTGTAATATAGATGGATTCACTTTGTTTCCAATGTTGTAATACATCAAATAAAATTTAAGAAGAGCAATTGAATGATAAAATTTATCTTTAGATGGATTCTTAGTTTGGTTTCCCTAGCCATAAAAAGTTATTATTCATATTAATTATCAGAGAGGCTGAACATTCTAAAGAGAAAAGGAACACAGGCTTTGGAGTTTAATATTGTATCTCTACCACTGACTATCTCTGTGACTTTAAACAAGTAACTCAGGCTTACCTTAATTTCCTCATTAGAGAGACAGACAGACACACAAAAATATGGCACCTATCTTGCAACCCTGTAGGGCTGCTAAGAGTATTAATGCGATCACATATGCAATTCACACTGAACACAGGAGGTGCTCAAAATGTTAATTTTATTTCTCTTATGGAAAACTTTCCAAATGCGTGGGCCAAGGCCATCTGATGTCCATTCCTGGCTCATATTTCATATCAACAAAGTATGCAATGCTGCTACTCAGCTCTACAGCCAGAAAAGTGGAATGCTTTTGACTAAAAATTCTCAAAGCACAGAAGTCAAGTCTCCAAATTTGGGTTGGTGAGGGAAATAAAAGAATTAAACAGAGTGCTTGACAAATTATGCTAGTAAAAACTGAGAAAATTTAATAACAGCATTAGATGAAAAGTGTACATTACATTTGTATCAGCAAAGGGATGTGTGGAACTGGGTGATTATTTGGATTAATTGAAAAATAAGGAATATCTTTGCCTAGAATATTCAGTTAAATGCAAAAGCAGGTTTTTGCTTTAACATAAGCTAGATTACCTCAACTATCTATCTCACTTTATTGATATAAAAGAGCTTAATTAAAGAAAGAGCAGAGATCACCTTTTGTTTATATCATCAAATAAATACCAAAATAGACAGGTAATGAAAAAATTCAAAATTTAAACTCTTGCTTCAAATGGTATACATTTCCTTTTGAAACACCAAATGTAAGTACGTAAGAATCAGAATAAATCTTTCCTTCTGACTGTTGGCCAAATTCCTCTTCTTTACAAGAGAACTTTCTGAACTCCAATATGATTTCTCAAGAGTGATAAGTAACCTAGTAATAATGTTAAGTCTCCAACATGAAGAATTTTGGCAACAAAAACAGAAGGTTAATTCTACTTAAAAGACAGGGCAGCCCTGCCAGTGTTGTTCCCAAATGAGGTAATGTCCATGGCTCTTATCTAGCCTTTATTAAGATTTAATGTCATTTACCCCTGACTTTTATGAACATGCTGCATAATCTCACCTTTTCTAACGTGCATTACTTCCAACCATTTCAATGCTGCACACATGAACCTCTGGTTTTTAAAATGATTAAGAAAGGAATCACGTATGTTCTTTCTTTTTTTGCATGTCCTATAATTTGAGTTTTTCTTCCCTAGTCCCAGAAAATTCAGAATCAGCATATTTCTTGTTTTCAAGGTGCACTATAGAAATACTCTAAGGTTTGATATATTTATGTAAACATTTTCAAAGAAGTCAAAATGCATAATTCAAGAAAATGTTCTGTGAAAGAATTTGTTTTCTGATTACAAAATGATTTCCTGCTTTTGAAAAAAATAACAATTTTATATTTACTTAGCTGGCTCTGAAGGTCCCAAGGAGATTACCATTCCTTTCAATTCCTAACACATTTCTTTTCCAGGTGCAGGCCTTTTACTGATTTCAAAGGTGGCTTTATGTGGAGAAGGAATCTATAAGCTGTAGAAAGGAAAGAGAAAAAGAGCCCCCTCACAACTTAAACCCTCATGTTTTCCCCATAAAGAACCACAGGGTGAAACAGAACTATGACAACACAGATGTGACATCCGAATGGACATGACATAAAGACTTTCCACATGCCTTTGACTTCCTTTGTTCAACCAAGGTAAACTACCTTGATGAAGGCAGGAATCTGCCTGATAAACAAGAACACAATATCCAACACCCACGTTGCTGGGGTTTTTTTTCCAACAAGTGTGTCACCTCACCAACACTTAGGAACAATAACAACAGTCACAAAAATCCCAGAATTATAGATTTTTTTTTACCTTTCCATCCATAAGATTTCACATTTTAGCTAGCAGAAAAAGTAAACTTGAGAACATTAAAAGCAGCCTAGAGACAGAGCAAAAGACCGTGTTTTGTTGCTGGGCAGACTAATGAAAACCAGTTGGGCCTGCCAGTGGTGTGTGTGGGAAACTAGGCTGGCAGGCCTATTTGTACAACTGGTACAAGAGCCCAGCAAGCAACTCCAACTACACTACTCGGACAAATTCAGCCAACAGTGGATCTTCAATAAAGAAAATCTGATGGCTGATCCCCTTCACAATCTGGCCCTTCCTTCTAACTTAGCTGCAGTTTACATTGTGAAAAGCCTGTCTTGCATTACCATTAATGCCAGCCCTGCTCTTTAAAAGCAGCAGCAGAGTCTGACACAATCAAAGATCTAAAGTGAATGAGTGAGCAAATGATGATCTTTGGGCCTCAATGGCCAATCTTTAAAACAAAGATAATAACCCCTGCCCCTCTCTTCATCACAGGGATGCAGCGAGGACCCAAGGAGAATGAATGCTTAAGAGTTATATTAAAGAAACCACCAGGCTGGGCGTGGTGGCTCATGTTTATAATCCTAGCACTCTGGGATGCCAAAGCAGGTAGATCATTTGAGCTCAGGAGTTTGAGACCAGCCTGAGCAAGAGTGAGACCCCTGTCTCTACTAAAAATGTAAAGAAATTAGCTGGACAACTAAAAAGATATAGAAAAAATTAGCCGAGCGGCGCATGCCTGTAGTTCCAGCTACTTGGGAGGCTGAGGATGAAGGATTGCTTGAGCTTAGGAGTTTTAGGTTACTGTGAGCTAGGCTGATGGCATGGCACTTTATCCTAGGCAACAGAGTGAGACTCTGTCTCAAAAAGAAAGAAAGAAAAAAAAGAAAGAAAAAAAAAGAAAGAGAAAGAGAAAGAAAAGAAGAGAAAGAAAAGAAGAGAAAGAAAAGAAAAGAAAAGAAAAGAAAAGAAAAGAAAAGAAAAGAAAAGAAAAGAAAAGAAACGAAACGAAACGAAACGAAACGAAACGAAACGAAACGAAACCACCAAAGACCCATGATGTATGCAACACAGACCAAAGCATCTCGAAGTGCAGTCTGGGACCGTTGGGGGTCTGTGCAATCTTCCCAGGAGGTACACAAGATCAAATTATTTTCAAAGTGAAGCTAAGAAGTTAGTTTCCTCTTTTACTCTCATTCTCTCATGAATGTACAATGTAGTTTGCCAGAAGCTACAAGTCACGTGATGATGTCATCCTTCTGATGACTACTGCAATATGTGTCTGTGAGCTCTTTGTGTTTCAATATTTTCTCAGTTTTATTTTCTAATTAAATATCAATAGGCAAAAGATCTTTGAGACGCACCATAACTTTTTAAGAGTGTAAAGAGGTTCTGAGACCAGTTTGCAAACTGCCAACCTAGAACCTGAGTCCCACCCAAGCCTGCAGTTCCCAGACAGGCTCCTTCTTGCTCACCAGAAGCCCTTCTCAATGCTGCTCACTCTGCATGGCAGACCCTCCCTCCCTTCACTCGGCTCACTTGTTTCAGTCTCTGTTTAGATGTCACTCTCTATGGGATGATTTTCCCCAGACAAGTCAGGTAGTCCTACTATGTATTCACCCAGCACTTAGCACACTACACTGTGACCGCTCTATTTTCTGGCATTTTTTTATCCTTGGCTCCTTCAAGGCAAGGGCCGACTCAATCACTGTTCTGACTATGACAGCAGTATGTAGCAGGCATTTAATAAATACTTGTTGAATACACAAAACAACCAAGGGAGTGGAGGGACAAGGAAGAAAGGAAAGACAATGGGATAGGTCTATCTTGCATTCTCACTGGAGGGAATTAGTTACTAAAAACACTGGCTTTCATCTTAGTACAGGCTCATTAAAATTATGATAATAATAATATCTATTTATCTTGTTATGTACTAGATACTATTCTAAGTGCTTCATATATATTAATTCATTTAGTCTTCACAAAATCCCTATGAGGTATATGCTACTAATATCCTCATTTCAAAAATGAAGATACAGATAAACAGGTAGTAGGGGGTGAATCTGACATTCATACCCAGACAGTCTGGCTTCTGAGTCCCACCCCATTAACTACTCTACACACTGCCTGGTCAGCAGTGTAGACCTCAGGCTTAATACATACTGGAATCTCAAGGCCATCTCTCAACTCTGCTCATAAACCAGGAACATGACCAGACATTTAAACCCCATCCCTAGGTGAGTAACTACAGCAGCCACGTGAACAGAGGATCTCACCAATACTACCTTTCCCCAAGTTGGGCTTTAAGTAGAGCAGTTTCAATAAGAAGTCTATTTCTCACTTGTTATATTTGAGTCTTTTCTAGAGAAATGTTAGGTTAAAAACAACAAACTTGTATATTTATTCAAAATGAAAAGCTTTTTCAGTAGCATAGAGAAAATAGGGCAGAAAGGTTTGATTTCCAGGTACTATGGTGTTGTGCTATAGGGAAAACTTTCCCTGATATATGTAATTCGTCCTGTGCCTCATGGGCTAATCTCTCTCTCAAGGAATACTCACAGTTTCACCCTGAACAGGGAGTATCCAGAATGTTCTGAAGGCATACTTGATGGGAAAGACAAAACTTTAGCCGGCTCAGAGAGGTAAGTCCAAATGGGAAAGTACATTGTAGAAAGCACAAGATTAAATGCAAAAGATAATCTGACAGAATCACAGTTAGCACTGTATTCATGCTTGGGACGAAAAAAGCACACCTAGGAGACACCTGATCATTCAGCAGTAGAAGAATGTTCTTCAGATAAATTTAAAAGCCTGTGTATCAAATCTTCACCTAGTAATAGGACATGAGAAACCAAAGTTCATCTTATGGTATCTGACAGAAGTCACACAAGTAACTTTACTTACCTGGAGAAGTGTCCCATGAATATGGTTTTGCCGGAAACACTGGTCAGTGCAGTTGGGAAGTGTAGCCAACAGACCTTGGATGGTTTTAGGAATGTGGTCTACCATAACAAATGAGACCAAGGCACGAGCTGCCATTTCACGGGAGCGGTAGACAGGTGAGCGACCACATCTGGGGAAAAAAATTAAAAACACAAGACCATTCAATACTCATCTCCACATTTGTGTGATGTTCTATCTAGCTTGGGCTGGAATATCCAAGGGCAGGAGAAGAGAAGCTGCTCCTTATTCCCAATGATATTTTTCATATTAATAGTTCCCTTATTCTAAATGATGTTTTTTGTATTTGCATTATTAGTTCTATAGGTAACTTTGCTTTGGTTAAAAACATCATTAGGGCCAGGCATGGTGGCTAATGCCTGTAATCTCAGAACTTTGGGAAGCTGAGGCAGGAGGATCACTTGAGCCCAGGAGTTTTTGACTAGCCTGGGCAAGACGAGACCCCATCTCTACAAAAGAAATTAAAAAAAAATTAGCCAGGTATGCTAGCATGCACCTGTAGTACCAGCTACTCAGGAGACTGAGGCTTGAGGATCTCTTAAGCCCAGGAGTTTGAGGCTACAGTGAGCTATGATGTTGCCACTGCACTCCAGCCTGGATGACAGAGTGAGACTCTGTCTCTAAAAAAATAAAAATAAAATAAAATAAAAACATCATTAGCATCTATAATTCTTTTTTTTTTTTTAGAGTCCAGTGGCTTTTCTTAGGTTTGTCTCCTATTCCATGAATTCATAGGGAATAGGTTCCAGCAGCTCAAGGTCCTTTCCTTGCTTCTCACAAGTGTGCTATGCCTATTATGCCACAAATTAATAGGGAACAGGTCCCAGCGCCTCAGGCTCCTTTCTGTCGCTTCCCACAAAGTGGGACACCTATTATGCCATAAATTCATAGGGAATAGGTTCCAGCAGCTCGGACTGCTTTCCATTGGTTCTCACAAAGTGTACTTCTCTGGGTGGAGCAGGCTGTTGCTTCAGTTGAACCCAGGTACCTTTCTCTTTGGCTTCCTTCTTTTTCTGATCATTTTCCTTCACACGTTTCAGGAATCTATCTCGGCTCTTAGAGTGCTTAATGTGCTCAATATGCACATCAATCCTCTTGGCAAGAATCTTGCCTTTAACTTGTTTATTTACAATTCCAACAGCATGCTGGGTAACATTGTAGACTCTTCCAGTTTTGCCATGGTAACATTTGTGGGGCATGCCTTTTTGAACATTACCCCATTCCCTTGATGTCTACAATATCACCTTTCTTGTAGATTCGCGTGTGTGTGGCCAAAGGAACAACTCCATGTTTTCTAAAAGGCCTACAGAACATGTATTGGGTGCCTCTCCTCTTTCCCTTTGTGTTCGTCATTTTAGCAAATTACTCAGCAGCCACAAGGTTGTGGTTCAAGTGTGCCGAACGCAGGGCACTGGAAGCCATGCGCAGCCCCTACCTGGAAGATGTATAATTCTTTATTATAAGGATTAAATGTAGATATGCTTTGGGAATAAGACAATAAACAGGTAGCAGCAAAAAATGACTTACTCCTCAACATCAATCAACTGTTTATTAGGCACTTACAATGAGCAAAAGCACCGTGATAAGTGCCATGAAAAACAAGACAGTCACCATTGTCTTTGAGGAGCCCATACTATGGTTGGCTAGCTGAGAAGTGCTTTTGAAAAGATGATCAAAAGTAAAAGACAGTATGAAGAAAATGATAAGCAAGTGACCTTGACATTATGACTATAAGAAGTCAAAGGAGTAAGGATGGAACTCAGGAAAGCAAGCATAATTCAAGTAGGATAATAGAAACCAGGAAAATGTTTCAACCAGAGATGGTGGTATTAAGCAAGAGTAGAAATACTCAAGGTATGGGTTAGATGTGTCTGGTTGAAGTAAAGGTTCATGAATAATAGTGGAAGTTAAGGCTGAGAAGTTGGCCATGCCACAGTGGGGAATGCTACAAATGGCAGACTATACTGTCTGAACTTAAGAGAACAAGAAATGAACATTCAAGTCACCAAATCCTTACCTTTGGGCTGACTCACACCCAAAGAGCTAGAATAAAAGCCAGTTCTTAAATAAGTGAAAGTCCTGAACAAGTGGTATTTTGAGATTGTACAAAGGTCATTATAAAGGTAGGTCGTCTAAGGGCCTCTTGATTTTGTAAACACTCAGAATGTGAGAGGCCACAACCATTTTGTTGAAATTGTGCACTTGAAAGCCTTCACAGATATAGGATTGATTGTTTGGAAGCAAAGTACAATATGGCAAGTCCTAGCTTAAATAAGTTCTTGACTAGAACTCTCAAGGCTTCATGATCTTTCATCCAATTATAAAAGTAAGTAAGTAAGTAAGTAACTTAGTGAGTAAGTAAAAGTAAGTAACTGTAAGTCAACTTACAGAAATGTCTTAGATGCCAAGATAAGGACAGGGAAGATCAGAAGACAGTAGACTTTGCAGGGGAAAGAGATGGCCTCTTGACATTTTTTAAAATTAATCAGTGCTCCAAGAAGGAATTTCTGGTAAGATATGGGCCATTAAGGCTATGTAGGTAGAAAGACAGAGCCCTACAACCAAAATGTTTCTGAAATGTTTCCAACACCCCCCAGAGGTATCACCACAATTTATCTTAATATGACAATAAAAATACAGATACAATTTCTGTACAAATAGAATGACCTAAGCAGACTTTCCTCATGGGGATGGTGGGAAGGAGGAGGTACGGAGAGAAAAGGGTACAGGGTAAGTGAAAACATTGCATCATTTCTTTCCCCTAAGAGGACTTCGGGATGGGAAACCTTCACATCATCTACGAGAAGGCACTGAGGGCTAAGGTTACAGTAGGTAGCTAGAGAGTTCCCACTCATCTTGGACTAGGTTCTGACAACTCACTCATTTTTCTCATTTATTCTTTTTAAATGATTAAATGTTCAATATGTAATTGGCCAATGCAGCAAAATGTTTGTTTTGGTCTATGGAGGATTGTGGTGGGATGGCTGGGAGAAAAACTTCATTTCACAAAGAAAAAATACTCTGAAAATGTTTTGAGATTTAATTAGCAAATGACCTCACTCAGGACAACACAGTCATTTGTTGGAAGCTTCCCGCTGTCTATCCCCCACCACTCCAACACACACACTTTGTGTTATAGTGTGTTTTATGTTACCAAAAGGGCTCTTGTATATAAATGTTTCTTTTCAAATACAAATAACTCTGACATAGTTACAGATGTTTAGTTTCCAATTAGCAGTAACTGTACACTCAAGAATGCCCCTCCTTTTGCTCCCGACTTTTTGTAAATGATGATTTCCCAAAGGAATCTGGCATCCATACAGAAGAAAGAATGGAAAGTGGGAAAAGTGCCAGAATTTTCTGCTTTTGGATACCCTGTGTTAGGGTACTTTCCAAATGCACACAACCAGGTTAAAAAGCAAAACAAAACCTCTCCTCAGAAGAGTAATACAATGACCAAAAAAAGAGAAGCCAATTTTTAAAGTAATATTTAATTAAGTAACATTTAAATACTAAGTTTTTGTATTAATAGTACACTGTGCCTGTGTCTAATATAGTATCTGCATTTTTTAGGAACTGCAGACCTGTAAGTGGCCCCTAAGAGAATTAAGACCATGCAATGAATTCTGTGCTGTTTTAAAAAGGTAAGACAACAAATTGATCAAATTGATGACATGAAGGCAAAGAGGTTTGTTGTTGTCATTTTAACCTCCATTAAGAATAAAAAGGAAGAGTCAAGCCCTTCTGAAAGAAGTGGAATAGGCTCTGTCTCTGTAAGTCTCAATTTCTTCTGTAAAATGAAGCAACTGAATTTACAGTGTTGAAGGTCATTTTGACTTTTAATATTCCTTGAAAATCATTTCCTCAATGGCCCTGTGTTCTAGGCCTTAATATTAGGTCCTACATAGAATGTGCAAAACATGCAGATATCACTGTCTTTAAACCTCTAGCCCTCCTACCCCAATAAACTCTCTCTTTGTTCATTTTAATCACATATTTATTGATCGCCTACTGTGTGCTCAGCACCGTGTGACATGAGAAATCACACACTTGTAACAGTAATATTTGCATCCTGCAATTGAACAGCCCTTAGTAGTTTATAAAGTGACTGGACAAAAGGGCAAGAGGACAAGAGGGCATTATAAATCTAAATTAACAGATGAAAAATAAAATGAAGCTCAGAAAAGCTAAGTGGACCCTCCAGGATATGCAAGTGGCAGGCCAGACTGTGATACATAACTCTGAGACAGGGCTCCTTGGCTACCCCAACCTGTAGTTCACACCTGGAAACCAGGGGAGCATAAAAATATCTCCCAGCTAATAAAAACACAAACTTTAATTTACAAGTATGTGGAAAATCTCTAAATGAGTGAGTTTTTGCTGTTAGATATTTTTTTTCTTTTTAACATTTTCAGGATCATGAAAACATTTCAGAATCTAATGTAAACGATGGACTCTTTCACAGGAGGAATAGATTTATGAACATATACACACAATTTCCTATACAATTTCAGGACGTTCATGACGCGCATCCAAAACCCTTGCGGCGGTATTTCCCAGACCCGGGTCAAGAATCTTCAGTTGTTTGTTTGCACACGTCGCATGACCACACAGTGTGGCTGTCAGGTGTGTGCTTTGCTTCAAGTAACACAGCGATGGTGAACTAGAACACTGCTTATAGGGAACCACCAGCTTAGAGGGGATATACAGCCTGCTGATCACAAATCAGCGGTACCTATGGAGACATACACAGGTGTAGAACAGGGCAGCAGAAGGAAGAACTGAAATGGCTTTCTGGAAGAGATGGAGGATCTTCAAGTGAGGGTGAAATATACCTTAGACTTAACATTTCAGGAACCCTCAAGAGTTTAGAATGCAATATTCTGAACACAAAAAAAGGACCATTCTGCTGAGATCATCCCCTGACTTCACTCCCTTCCACAGAATGGTGACTGAACTTTTTCCAGGAGTTTCCCTCTTATGTTTCTCTCAGAATCTTTTTGTCTTCCTAAAAGGTTTCAAAGGGAAGTGGCTGGACATCATCAAAATTGCCTCAGCCACCCATATCTGTAGGGACATCTACTGAGTACCTAGCACAATCACACAATGGGT